AAGCATGGTTTCCTTTAGTTCTTTGAATGTATTTATAATGGCTGCTCTGAAGTTTTTGTCTAAGTCCGATATCCAGGCCCTCTTACAGGCAGCTAGAGCTTGTGGTTATTGCTGTTTACTTATTTTTAGTGACTTGGTGGGAATATTTTATTGAAGTCTATTTCTCCCACAGTGTGAAGCTTCTATGTACCTCAGAAGGTATAGCCTTGGGCATACATACAAATACTCTTCAATGACCTTGGTTTTAGCAGGGTTCTTTGACTATATCTTCCCCTGATCTCTGTGTTAAACTTCCTATCTTTCCTGGTATCACAGCCAGACCTTAGGTTCCTCTAATTGCCAGCTGATTATTCTACTGTTTTCGACAATGTCCTCAGGCATAAATGTATACCATTCTGATCTAATGGAATTTGGACACCCCCCCCCCCCCCCTTGCAGAGATCATTTTTGAGGCCAGTCTTCGAGGTTTCTTTCTACCCTATCAGGACTCCTCCTAGCTATCTGTATCTCTGGCTTTCTCTGCTAAACTAGCTGCTTATGGTTTTAGAGAGCCCCATTGGGTTGGAATTTTCCCCCAATCCTGATAGTCATTTCTTTGAGGAGAGCTTAAGAGCTCCTGTTACTATGGCTGCATCCCCCTCTGGGCAAAATCTCTGAGTCACTGCTCTGGAGCTGTGGAGGGAGAGTGGCCCACTTCTGTCAGAGAGACACTTCTACTTTTGAGAAAGGCAGTGAGTGGGGGCAGTAGCCTCTGGTCCTCTAAGCTTGCCTTTCCCTGTGTGGAACCTCCACCCTATGAATAAGCTGGGGTGAGGGCACTTGAGTCCCCAGTGTTCTCAGCCTTCTGGGAGCAGACCTCTGCGGCCAGATCTCTGCCCTATGATAAGGGATCCCCCAACTTCATGGTGGCACTTTTTTGGAATTTAGCACATGCAACATAGAGCTGAGGGGGATGAGAAATACTGGCCATCTGCCTCTCCTATGGAGCTTCTATAGCCCTTGACTAGAAGCTATAGAGAGAGGGAGCCCCATCTTCTTGGCCACACTCAGCTGAACTGAAGCGTCTGTCATTCTGATCTCGGGGTGAGGGGAAGTAAAAAGGTCATGATTCAAGTGTCACAAATCGTTTCTACTGAGATTTAGTATCTTTTCTTGAATAAATGTTTCTTTGTTTGCTGACTTGTTCTATGACCTTAAGACAATTTCCAGAGACTTTAAATGCTTTTTATAAAAAATAGTTTTCACTAGTTATGATTTTTCTGCTGGGGATAGTTCTGTGGAGCTCCTCATACCACCATTCTAAAAATTATAATTTCCACTCTGTATTTCTAAAGTACAGAGGTTATTAGTAAACTAGTGTTCCTATATAAATAACTTATGTCTAAAAATGTACATACCATAATTAAAAAACACTTCATTGCTAAAAAAAAATGCTGACAATCATTTGAGCCTTCAGCGGTTGTCATCTTTTTGCTGGTAGAGGGTCTGGCCTCAATGTTGATGGCTGCGGACCGATAGGGTGGTGGTTGCTGAAGGTTGGGGTGGCTGTGGCAGTTTCTTAAAGTAAGACAACAATGAAGTTTGCCACATTGATTGACTCTTCCTTTCATGAAAAATTTCTCTGTTTGACAGCATTTTACCCACAGTAGAACTTCTTTCGAAACTGGAGCCAATTCTCTTGAACCCTGCTGCTGCTTTATCAACTAAGTTTATGTAATATTCTAAATGCTTTGTTGTCACTTCAACAATGTTCACAGCATCTTCACCAATAGCAGATTCCATCTCGAGAAGTCACTTTCTTTGCTCATCCATAAGAAGTAACTCCTCGTCCACTAAGTTTTACCATAAGATTGCAGCAGTTCAGTCACATCTTCAGGCTCCTCTTCTAACTCTAGTTCTCTTGCTATTTCCACCATAGCTGCAGTTACTTCCTCCACTGAAGTCTTGAACCCCTCAAAGTCATCCACGGAGGTTGGTATCAACTTCCAGACCACTGTTCATATTGGTATTTTGACCTCCTCCCATGAATCACAGATGCTGTGATTTGGCAAAATGTGTGAATGGCATCTAGAACAGTGAATCCTCTCCAGAAGGCTTTTAATTTACTTAGCCAAGATCCACCAGAGGAATCACTATATACGGCAGCTATAGCCTTAGAAAATGTCTTTCTTAAAAAAAAGACTTGAAAGTCAAAATGACTCCTTGATCCATGCGCTACAGAATGGATATTGTATTAATAGCTACGAAAACAACTTTAATCTTCTTTGCAAATTTCCATCAGAGTTCTGGATGACCAAGGGCATTGTCAATGAGCAGTAATATTTTGAAAGGAATCTTTTTTTCTGAACAGTAAGTCTCAACAGTGGGCTTAAAATATTCAGTTAACCATGCTGTAAACATATGTGCTGTCATGCAGGCTTTGTTGTTCCATTTATAAAGCATAGGCAGGGTAGACTTGCCATAATCCTTAAGGGCCCCAGGATTTTCAAAAAGGTAAATGAACACTGGCTTTAACTTAAAGTCACTAGATGCATTAGCCCCTAACAAGAGGTAAGTGAAGGCTTAGGATATACCTTACATATCATTTGGCAATTCTCACAGAATGTGTCCAGCGGCTCTTCTTTAGGAAATGAGGACATAATCACTAATTGCCTTCAGCATTGGCACTTAAATAAAAAACTCTGGGACCAGAAGAAAAGTATGATTCAATATCCTATTATACATTAAACTTTGAAGCCAGGCATTGACTTCTCCTCTCTAGCTAAGAAGTCCTAGATGGCATCTTCTGCTAATATAAGGCTGTTTCATCTACACTGAAAATTTGTTGTTTAGTGTAGCCCGACTTCAATCTTTAATCTTTAATCTTACCTAAATCTTCTGGATAACTTGCTACAGCTTCTACATCAGCATTTGCTGCTTCACCTCACACTTTTACATTATGGAGACAGCCTCTTTCCTTAAATCTCACGAACCAACCTCTACCAGCTTCAGGCTTTTCTTCTGCAGCTCCCTCACCTCTCTCAGGCTTTGTAGAATTGAAGAGAGTTAGGGCCTTGCTCTGAATTAGGCTTTGGTTTAGGGGAATATCGTGGCTGATTTGATCTTCTATCCAGACTACTAAAATTTCTTCCATATCACCAACAGGGCTGTTCCACTTTATTTTCATTCATGTGTTCATTAGAGTGGCACTTTTAATTTCCTTCAGAAACTTTTCCTTTGCATTCACAACTTGGCTAATTTGGTGCAAGAGGATTAGCTTTTAGCCTATCTCAACTTTTGACATGCCTTCCTTACTAAGCTTAATTTTTGATTTAAAGTGAGAGACATGATTCTTCCTTTCACTTGAACACTGAGAGGCCATTGTAGGGTTATTAATTAACCTAATTTCAACTTGTTGTGTCTCAGGGACTAGGGAGGCCTGAGAAGAGGAAGAGAGATGGGGAATGGCTGGTAGGTGGAACCCTCAGAATATACACAACATTTATCAATTAAGTTTGCCATCTTATATGGGTGCAGTTTGTGGCACTCCAAAACAATTACAGTAGCAATATCAAAGATCACTAATAATAGATTACCATAACATATGTAATAATAATGAAAAGGTTTAAAATATTGCAAGAATTACCAAAATGTGACACAGAGACATGAAGTGCTGTTGGAAAAATGGCACTGATAGACTTGCTTGGCACAGGGTTGCTACAAACGTTATATTTGTAAAAAAAAAAAAAAGCGGTATCTGTGAAGTGCAATAAAGCAAAGTGTGCCTATATATTCAAAAACCTATTGAGTAGTAAGAATTAGGCATAGGAAAAAAAAGAATTAGATATAAGGCTACATATTAGCTACATGAACAAATAAACTTTTAGAAGATTTTTGTATTCTCCACCTTTTAATTAGTAACTGACTTTATATTAAAAAATGTAATTTTAAATAATTGCTATTTTAAAATAAAAAAATTTTAATTATGCATTTGAAATCATAGAAATCTCTTAAAATTATTTCTGAGGTTATTTAAAATTTTATTTTATAAAGTCTTTATACCTCAGCTGTTGGAATGTATTGGTTTTTTTTGAGACAGAGTCTTACTCTGTCACCCTAGCTAGAGTGCAGTAGAGTCATCATAGCTCACTACAACCTCAAACTCCTGGGCTCAAGCAATCCTCCTGCCTCTGCCTCTCAAATATCATGGGACTACAGGCATGTGCAACCATGCCCCACTAATTTTTTCTATTTTTAGTAGAGACAGGATCTTCCTCTTGCTCAGGCTGGTCTTGAACTCCTGGGCTCAAGTGATCCTCCTGCCTCGGCCTCCCAGAGTGCTAGGATTACAGGCATGAGCCACTGTGCTCAGTCTGGAATGTATGATTAATTAAACCTTCTCGAGAGATTCTTATTTAATTTTATCTTCTCTCCTAAACATATACATACCACCAGCACCACTGCCTGCTCATCCAAACAGCTAGAACTGGTTTATGCTTAGTCAAGTAGAAATTGCTGTGTGGAATCTAGATATTTACTCCATGACATTTATATTGACATTCACTCAAAATCAAATTATTAATATATATATATATTCTATATAAATTACATATTTTCTATTTATGATAAATGCTTTTATTTTAGGAGATATGAAAAAAACCTAGGTAAGGATCCAAGCATCTACAATAACAGCATACGAAATGATTAGAGTAATCACGACACTCCAAATTGATTTCAAAACATTTATTTATTCAATACCTTTAATTAAAAAGTATCATGCAAAATGCTTTCTCCAAATGTCTTAGGATGGCTTAACTAAGAATTTGACATCCCATTTAAGAATCTGTGCCAACAACAAAGATCGAAAACTTACCTGCCAATAGCTCCTGGTTGTAGCATATATGACTAAAAGGAACAGTCTAAAAACTCATTGGGAACTCTTATTCTCCCACCTAATCTTGTTTTAGGTTCTCTAATGTACCTAAAACAAGAGCATTATATATTTTAATTTTTAAACTTACCTGATATAAATAATCTTCAAATACAAAATAATAATCATCATTGCTTGCTGTCAACTTCACATCCTATAATTAAAAGTAGAGAGTACTGAAATGAACCCAAATGAATCTGTCTGCAGTACTAAAGCATACATACAATATTTAGAAATAATATTGCAATGAATTTATTACTATATGATTACAAACTTCTCAATTAGATTTTATCACTGCTGTATATTTACTTGAGTAATATATGCGACACATTATTTGACCTCAAATTCCACATACTTTTTTAGGCTCCATTAGTAATTCTTTATTATTTATTTCAATTTTATATCCTTTTAATCTAATATTTAAGTATCGTAAAGCTGGAAAAGCAAAGCAGATGAAATCATAACATCCAGAAGCAACTGCAGCAATCTGCCCTAAATTACTGTTCCAATCTCACTACTCAAGTCCACATTCCTGGCATTCCTTCAAATACCAAATATCTTTCATGCCTTTGTGATTATTCACTTGCAAGTCACCACTTGCTACTGGGAGGCCAGTAACACCAATTTTCTGCATCTTAAACTCACCTTTTAATGGCCAGTTTATTGACTTCCCCTGGATAGCGTATTAGTTCCTTTCTTTAAATATATCTCTATTCTCACTTTCTGACCTGAAACTACCTTAAAGATTTCTACTCTCACTACAAGACTTTAGGTTCTTTGTGCCCCAATGTCATAATTGCTTTTTATATATTTAGCACCAGCAGCAGTGCCTGGCATCTAATTAGTACCCAATAAGTGTTTGAAGAATGAATAAAAAATAAAAATGATAAAATTATTAATAGAAATTAATTATAGTTTCCTGTGATACACTATATCATTATATAGGTACCCCCCCAATAACAAACAAAAAAAATGAAGCCCAGAAAAATATACCAAAATATTTGTGTTTCCCCCACAATGTCTCTGAACATTGTGTACATTGACTTAGAACCTGCTGCTTGTGTGCATCAGTGCAAAGAACATGGACATCCCAACAGATTTAACTAAGATTTGAAATCCAGTTCTACTACTTCTAGCTGTATGACTTTGGTCAGTAACTCTGAGACTAGGTCTTCGTATTTGTAAATGGGGATACCACCCCCTACTTCAGAAAGTATGGGTAAATACCTAAGATAGTATCAGATACAGAATAGGCATCCAGAAAACTATTTTAAAAATTACCTAAAAGCCCCTTTACTTATAGTAGTCTTTATTTATAGTAGTCTTCATCTATTTATAAGTAAATATAAATCTTGAATCTTATTTGTATCAAAAAAACCCAGACCTAAAGGACACCATACTTTTAGACCCAATATATAATCAATTCAACAAATACTAATTGGATGGGATAAAGAACACAATCAAATAGCAATTGGATGGGATGAGGGATACAATATCCTCAAGAAGTCTATAATCTCACTGGCAAGAAAACAGGAAAAATCACAGGAAATGTTACAGAAATCCATAATAATATGGCTCAAACACCCTGAAAAATTCAAACAGGCTACCGAGCAAAGTAGCAATCAGGGGAGGATGAAATGAGTCACAGATGACTCTAGGGGTAGTGAGGTATGCTAAATTTGAGTAATGACACACACTAAGGAGACAGAGGCCAATCTTCTAAGTCAGAAGACAACATGGGCAAAGGCAGAGATCATGCATTCTCTACAGGGGTGATATTGCCTCTCTGGGGGTGAAAACTAGTTCTTGGGGGCCAAAAAATTCTACATATTACAAGGGATCTCTAGAGCTCATCTCTATCCAACAAAATTTTATTCTGTTATTTAATTTTTCTTTTTTTAGAGAGAAACTAAATAATTTTTCTCTTCAGGGGTGTCATAAAGAAGAAAGGTTGAGAAACACTAGTATAAATTGTCAGATCACAGGCAAATGGTAGAAAAATGCAGAGGTTTGGACACAGGGCAAGTTTGGGGGGAAATAAAACAAAAACCACCCAGTTTAGATAGAACCATTTATTAAGTTAGCTTGGGGGGGTGGGGCGATTGGCGATACCCTGTATTTAGTACTGCCTTGTTCCATTCATTCCTTTAACCTTTAACTAACGTCATTCTACCTTGTTTTCAGTTAGATTTAAAACAAGTCTTTGCTATAGGGAGCTGTAATAAAACTTTACATATTTTTTTAAAAATGCTCATTCCCTTAAGGGCTGACTGTAATAATGTTTGGAGTTGTTCCAACAAGATCAGCAGAGCCCAACTAACACAAGCCAAAAACAACTAGACAGATATCTTCCTAAAAACATTCATATGCACAGGATTGATGCTATCAAAACTTAATACTCAATTCCTCAGACACAAACTGTGTACCTTTTTTCTCAAAACAGATTTTCTTTACTGACTCAAACAGAAATTCATGTTGGCAACAGAGAACTCTCATAGTAGCATTGCTGCTTTTTTGAGCTTTTTCACTTGTAAGTTTCCTCTCATTTGAATAGAAAGAGGTTAAAGGTCTTACAGGCCAAAAGATCTCTTATGCTGTTCCTAAAATAATCTTCTGAACATGATAATTTGACCTCAAAGTTAACAGGAGTATCTGTGATCCAAATCTCACGTAAAACCTCTGTGAGATTCAAGATTTTTCATCAAAGGACTGTATCCTCTAGATTCTCATTTCTGTTTACTGTTTAGTGCGTAGTGGTTAAGAGTATGGTTCTGAAGTCAGATTGCCTGAGACCAAATCTTGGCTTTGCTACTTAATATGTAAATTTAAACAAATGTCTTTAATTTTTCATGTCAGTCCCCTCACATGTAAAATACTAAAATAACAGTACTTTCTGTTTTGCTATAACACGTGTGGCTATATGGCTTGTAAGTAGGGGAATGATGTCAGTATAACATGGAAACTGTCTTGGTGCAGGTACAATTTTTCTTAAGCAAGGGGAGCCACAGCAGTGGGATAGAATTATAACCTTCAGCAGCAAGGTAAAAAGCCTTGAGCTCAGCTTCTGCACAAGCACAAGCCTTTATAGCTGCATTTTAAGAAAATTAAAAATGGACATTGGCCCTGGGGCTCCCTCTCCAAAGAGGCACACCTGCAGCCTGGCACACTTCTCAGGTGCTGCACTTGTGCTCACCTTCACAGCAGCCCGCTGGCCCCGAGCACCACTTCTATTTGCATTATTTTAGCATTTCTGTTTTATTATTTTTGTACATTTTTAATGGCTCCTACCAGAGCAGCCTGCCTAAGCTGTTTAATTCTTCTCCCAAGCTATCAACTATTGTTTTTGTTAGTACTCTGGTTACAAAGTTGCAAAAGCCTTGAGTGGGCTTACCCCAAACCTTTTTTTCCCATAAGCTCTGTTATTGTTAATGTACGAATTTACAGAATGTGAGGTTTTTTTCCCCCAGGAAAAAAATGCATGTATCATTCATAGTCTAAATGCTGATGTCTGCTACACTTCGGTAGTTGTCAGGATTAAATAATATCTATGTAAAGGGTTTGGAACACTATGGCACATAGTGAGCAGTTATCAAATGTTAGTTGTTATTATTACCCTTGGCCATGTTCTACTCAGACAAGTTTTCAGGTCCTCTATGTATTATATTGTTTTCCCCATTTCTGAGACCTGTAATATAGAGACCTCCTCTATCTTTTAAATTTTAAATTTAAAATCCAAGTCTTTTAAACAGCCTAATATTAATTCAGAATTAGTCATATATTATGTTTAAAGCATCTACAATTAGACCCTCAACTTAATTATCAAATGCTTGGAGGCAAAACCTCAATGTATCCATATCATAAAACCTGAAGTGTACTTTACCATATGTCTAGAAATTAAAAGAAATTAAAAGTTAAAAATAACCTCAGTATAATAAACAAGTAGGCCCTAAAGAATCATGAGATAAATAAGATAAAAATATTATAGTCTGATTTTCTTTTCAGTTGCATTTTTACTTGATTTGTATGGAAAACATGAGTTTATAATGACAAGAAATGCTTATTCTCTTAATCAAAAAATGGGAGGACTAGGAAAGGATCATGAGGACAGCTTCAAAGGGAAAGAAGATAACACTGAATGCAAACTACAAATTTTGAAGGCCAACCTTAACTTTATATGCATAAATTTAATGATCACTTAAAATTATTTTTCAAGGTTAACAGATATCGTCCACATAGTGCAGGCCCTGCATACCGAATATCAATTTTTAATATTAAAGAAATGGTAAAGACTATGCTTACTTTCACTTACTTTATAAATAAGACTGTCCACCAAAAGGTCATGTTGTATCACATTGGTCTTAAGCTGCTCATAATACAAGATATCCTAAATTTAAAAGTAAAACAAAAAAAGGTTAATCACATTTATAAAGTCAGCCTCAAACTTTAATAAATAATAATCATTAATAGTATTATAAACACTGAGAGAGCAGGAACTCAGTTTTATTCACAACTATATCCTCCATATATTCTGACCAATAGTAGACATTCAATAAATGTACCTATTCCCACCACTTGGGATAACATCTGGCACCTGGTAGATATTTAGTGAACATTTGCTAAATTATAATTTAACTTTAGTAGCAAATACAGTATTTATTAAGTACTTATAGGTGTGTAGAGGACATTTTGTCTGGGAATGTTTCCTTGTTGTTTTTCTCAGAACATGCCTGGGGCTTCAACGCAACTCCAGGGTGGCCTTATCTGAAAACAGTAAGGGCTAGAGAGTTCAGGATGAAAACATCAGCTCGCCAGAGACGAAACAACAAGGAACAGAGACGTGTTGAGTTGGGACAGTGTGGGAACAAAGAAATTGTGGTGGGACAGTTGCCAAACAGGCTGTGTTATAAATAAAGAAGCTACAGCAAGAAAGCGGCTGCAGTCTTATACCGTCTTTGTGTGTGTCTGTGTCTCTTTGTAGTGGCTGCAGTCATGTACTGTCTTTATGTGTGTCTATGTCTCTTTGTCTCTGTGTTCATTCCTTGGCCGCAAGAAACGGGCCACGTCATAGGTGCAAGGCACTGTTTTACCCACTTTGTACGAGTTAACTCAATTAATCCCATACCAACAAAATGAAATATGTCAGTGACTATTATTCCCATTTACATATGAGAAAATAAGGTCCAGAGAGAAAAGTAACTTGCTACCCCAAAGCCACAAAGCTAATAAGATTTGATCCCAGCAAAGCTGGCCCTATAACCTATAAAAAAAAAAACCCAGAAGGATTACACTATACTGCCCTTCTAATGCCTAAATTATTATTAACACAAAATAAAAAGTTTAACATAACAAATAACCTCTGGTAGTAAAAGCAATCATAGAACATACAAAAGAAGCCAGCTTTTAATATTAGAACATGGTCCCATAATACTATGAAACATGATTAACTGCACTATAATGAGATTAGGCTAATGTTTAATTGAATAGATAGTAAAAAATGAAAGAGAAGGAAAATGGAAAGGAAAGAACAAGTGAGGAAAGGAAGAAGGCAGAGGAGGAAGGGAGAGAAAGAGAGAGGGGGACTTGAGACTGTAATCAGGTTAAGCACCACGTTCATAGCTGGTCAGGGCATGAAGGATGAACACAGGGATCAATTGGGCAGTAGTTGTACAGAAACAAGATGGAAATATTAATATTATCTCATTGCTTTAGCTGACCCTTGTATTCCTCTGAATCCTTCCTTTCATCTGTCAGACACTTTAGCCCTGGCCTCCGCTCATATTCAAAGGCTGCCTGGCTTATGGCACACACCAATCTATACACAACTCTTGCTGAAGACATTCCCTCCAACAAGTAAAAGTTGTAGGACGGGTCATCTGGGACAAGGAGGAATATTTATCGTGTGAACTAAAATAAAATCTTAAGCCCCCCAGATGACTGAATGGACTTCCTCTTGGCCACAGGGACTCCAGAAAAACCTCAAAGCTGAGAGAAGAGAGGTCCAACATGCCTTGTCATGCCCCATGGTCCCTTTTGGAGTTACTCTTTGTTGCAATAAGGTACTAAATCATTAACAGGCCTAAGGCCATGCAAAACAAAGCTCAAAACATACCTGCAGGCCATCAATTTACTTAACAAATCACTTGAGTTTTGCTAAATGTCTGGTGGCTTGTCTCTGATTAATAGACATCCTTATACTAAGTTGAAATATTTCAAGCTTTTAGACAAAGCTTCATTTCTCTAACCAAGTACAAATCAAAGAATCTTAAAATGCACCTACAGCCTGTAAGCTCCCCTATCCACGTCCTGCCTTTTTGGGCTGAACCAATGTACTCCTTCCATGTATGATCTTACGGTAATTTCTGGCTCCATGAATGTATTATATAAAATCAAACTGTAACTCGGCTACTGCAGGCACAGTTTTTCAGAACCTCTTGAAAACATGTGTTCTGGGCATACATACTCGGCTCAGAATAAACCTCTTTAAATTATTTTAAAGAGTTTGAGTTTTTTCAGGTAACAATGTATGTGGCTTTCTTGGCAAGATGATATCTGACACTGTTTCCTAACATGATTTCTTAATCTTGAAAGATGTTTAAACATAGTTCTCTCGTTTGAGTCAAAGTGCTCTTTGCCCTAAAGATGATCTGGGCATTTACTGGTTATTTTCAGTCATTTTAATTTTAATAAAAAAGCTTTAATTAGTTCTCATTAATGTTTTAATTTTTTAACTAAAGCAAAATTATTTTACTGTTTTATTTATCTTCCATTGTATCTATTGAATCTCTCTGGCTAGAATGCATAAGCTAAGGAGTTTAGAAGTTTGCTTCTTTTAAAACATAAAATAAATTTAAAATTACAAACTAACACATAACCATTAAAATAAGTGAAACGATCTAAAGCAAAATAAAGGCAACTATCTTTTCTCCTTCCATTCTACCTTCCTGAAGTCTGAAGTAACTAACATTATTTGTATTTTGTATTGTATTTGCGATGTTATTTGTAATTTGTATTGTTCCACACCTTTCTCTCTGCTTATACATATGTAATCACAGTTGGGAGTTTGGGTTGTTTTATTTTATTTTTTTAGAGACAGGGTTTGGAGTGCAGTGGCCCAATCATAGCTCACTATAACCTCCAACTCCTGGGCTCAAGCAATCCTCCAGCCTCAGTCTCCTGAGTAGCTGGCACTACAGGTATGTGCCACCATGCCCAGCAAATTTTTAAAATTTTTTTTAGAGATGAGGTCTCACTATGTCACCCAGGCTGGTCTTGAACTCCCATCCTCAAGCAATCCTCCCACCTCGGCCCCCCAGAGTGCTGGGATTAGAGGCATGAGCCCCCACACCTGGCCTCAGCTGTTTTTTAACATGAAATGGAATCATATAATACCCATTATTTAGCTTCTCTAGCCTAACGATATATCATAGTTGTGCCTCTATGTTATTAATAATAAGTATAAATTTAACTCATTCTTTTTATTAGCTACATATGCTATAATATATCTAAAGCTGCAGTATAGATTTGTCATAATTTATTTAATCATTTGCCTATAGATGAATTTTCAGGTTGTTTCTGTGTGTTTGTTCCTACAATTCATGTGGCAATAAATATCCTTATGCACTATGCTTTTATATTTATGGGATAAATTGGCAAAAGCAGTGATCTAGCACCACTTACACTTTCCTGGATTAAACTTAAGCCCATTATCCAAAGTGGGGCACCACAAGAGCAGCAGAACGGGATCCATTTGTACTCACCATCAAATTGGTATTAACTAACCAACACATAAATGTACATATCAGAACAACATCTATTGGATGCTGGGGAAGGGGGAGGGTGGCGGGAGGAGGGGGGAGGAGGGAGGAGGGGACGGGTATTTGTACACACAAGGAGTGCAATGCGCACTACCCGAAGGATGGACATATTTGAAACGCGAACTTGGGGGGGGAACCAAGGGCAACACACGTAACCTAAACATCTGTACCCCATAATATGCTGAAAAAAAAAAACAAAAAAACAGGATTACAGACTGAAGGCTGTATGTATCTTAAATTGGGCTCCAAATTGCCTGACTACTTTCCAAAAAAAAAAAGAAAAATCAATTCAAATTCCCACCAGCACCAAAAGAGTACATTTTAACTATGTCCTTACCTTTTAAAATATTCACTTGCAATGAAAAATGGTATCTCATTGTTATGTTAATTTGCACTCTCCCAGCTAACAATAAAGTTAAAGATCTTTTCATATGTTTACTGGCCATTCGAATTTCCACTTGAATGATTTGCCCTTTACAACATTTACTTATTTTTAATAGTCTAACTCTTAATAATTGGTTGGAATTTGTTTATAAGGAGGATTAACCCTTTGTCATTTATGTTGCAAATACTTTTTCTTCAAAATAACATGTTATTTGATTTTTGTTTATGGTATTCACTGACAATTTTAAAAAATATGTTATTGCTTTTAGATTTCTTGCTTGCTTTAGGAAGGCTCCCCCAACACATGTTTATACAAATATTTTTCTAATTTTTTTTCTAAAATTGCTAATTTTTTCATTTAAATATTTATAATCACATAAACTAAACATCCGTACCCCCATAATATGCTGAAATAAAAAAAAATGAGGACTTGAAAAATAAATAAATAAATATTTATAATCACTCACAATTTATTCTTGTAGCTGGTTATAAAAAGGTCTATTTTTTTTCAGAAGGATGGTCAATTATCAACATCACACAATATGGAAATAACATTCATCAGAAATCAAGCAGGTGGGAGGAGAGAGAAGGGGATGGATAAATTCATACTTAATGGGTACAAAGCACACTATCTGGGCGATAGGCACACTTATAACTTTGACTCAAATGGTACAAAAGCAATTAACATAACCAAAACATTTTTACCCCATAACATTCTGAAAAAAAAAATTATCAGCATCATTTATTAAATGAACCATGCATTTCCAATTGAAATAAAATGCTAGGTCTATTTATTGACTCACCATGCTTTTTCTCATAATTTATTTGGCTATTTTAGACATTTAATCTCTATAAGAACTTTAAGATAATTCATCTAGTTAAAAATAAAAGTGATTCTCTTACATATTTGTTTCTGAAAAACTGACAAGTTTTTTGATACTAAGCCTTTCCACTCAAGAATATGATTCTGGTCTTAGCTGTGTGACCATAGGCAAATTAATAGATTTTCTGAGCCTGAGTAAAATGATCATAATAATAATACCTTTTTGTAGGTTTGATATGAGGAGTAAATGTACATGTAATATGTACATATGTAATACATGTAATATGTACAGAATAGTCTTAAATTAGGGACCTTTAAAAGTTTTTAAGCAGAAGAGCTGAGATATAAGCTTTCAGTTTTAGAAAAAGCAGGGTAGGGAAAGGATTTATAGGGAATAAGGCTGGAGGCAGGAAGACCAAGTAGGAGGTTATTTTAATTTAGGCAAGAAATGATGGTATTGTGAAATGGAGTGGTAGCAATGTGGACATAGAGAAATAGTTGGATTTGAAATATATTTAGGAGTTAAATCAAGAAGGAATTATTGAGTGATATAATACGAGATTCAGATAGAAAGAAAGTTAGGAATGATACCAGGTTTCTGGCTGGGGCACCTTGTTGTACAGTGGTACTGAAAATGGAATTTTCCTTAGGAAGAGTTTTAACATCTTGAATTTCTGGTGCTTATGAGATATATAAGTGCTTAAGTCCACTAAACAGTTGCATATGTTTTCGTTTTTGAGACAGGGTCTCACTCTGTCACCCAGGCTGGAGTGCAGTGGCCCGATCATAACCTTGAACTCCTGGGCTCAAGCCATCCTCCTGTTTTGGCCTCCCAAAGTGCTAGGATTATAGGTGTAAGCCATTGTGCCCAGCCAACAGTTACATCTGAAGCTCAGGAAAGAGATCTGGGAAGAAGATACATAGATTTGAGGTAAATGGTAACTGAAGACACGGGAGCTGATGAGATTTACCAAGGAAATAAATGAATGAGAACAGACCATCAAAAACCCTAATGTAAAAGACGCAAGAAGATCCTCCACAAATAAAGAATGCCAGAAAGTGCAGTGTGTCACAATAGCCAAAGGATATTTCAAAAAGGAACAGTCGATGAGATGAAACACTGCAAGAAGTGTAAGAGATAGACATTTCTTCTATTTAAATAAAAGAAGGATGAAGAAAGAGCAGATGCCAATGCAATTAAGTTTAAAGTTGGGTGGAAGGAATTTGAATGCATTTCTAATGAGGACTTCTGTTTCCTTGGGGTATCGGAAGGGGAAGTCTTTTGCTATGACTCCGAAGAGAAGTTGTTGAGGACAGTAGACATCAGAAACAGGCACTGTGGAGACCAGGCGCCATGAAAATCTAGGCAGGCCGGCATTGTCGTGGGCTGATGTAAGGTTGTGAGAATCTTATCAAGAAATCACTAAAGAAAATCTTAAATGTTAATACTAATCTTGGCTATTTTATTAGTGAGCAAGTACCTAAAGCAAAAGTATGGGAAAATTTTATCTGTAATTAGCAAACTGAAATTTATAAAAATTTTAAGAGACAAATAATATTTACTAAACATGAATATTTTGACACACACCTAGAGATTAGTGGAAAAGAAAATATATAAAAGCAATCCTTTTAAACTTAACACATATTTTCTTAAAAAGAAAAAATCAAAGTCAGATAATATTCCATTGAAAGTACTAAATGAATTAACTACCAGGAACTTAAAGTATTATACCCAAAATTTCTGTATTGAAATAAGAATTTAAAGAATAGCTTTATGGGTGTAAAATGTGAAATGTTCCATTTATGTCTCTAACTCCTCAACTATGACCACAATGATATGTGCAGCTTATTTTATATGACTGAAATGTAATTGAACAAAAAGTTCTAATCAAGTATTCTTTTTTTTTTTTTTTGAGACAGAGTCTCACTGTATTGCCCCGGCTAGAGTGCCGTGGCGTCATCCTAGCTCACAGCAACCTCAAACTCCTGGGCTCAAGCGATCCTACTGCCTCAGCCTCCTGAGTAGCTGGGACTACAGACATGCACCACCATGCCTGGCTAATTTTTTTCTATATATTTTTAGTTGTCCAATTAATTTCTTTCTAATTTTAGTAAAGACAGGGGTCTCGCTCTTGCTCAGGCTGGTTTTGAACTCCTGAGCTCAAACAATCCGCCCACCTGGGCCTCCCAGAGAGCTAGGATTACAGACACGAGCCACCGCGCCCGGTCCAAGTATTCTTAATAAGTAGTATTTTCCCTCCTTCCCACTCTCTTCCTCTCTCTCTCTAAAGTACCACCTACTACAATTATTTTGGAATTGTCATAGTTCATTGAGATCACACTTTTACAGCTGATATTATGTGTAAATGATGAAACATGTTTTAATCAATAAAATCAAGATTGTTTTTCTGAAAATATTAAATTATGGATATTGAATAGACTTCTCACTTTGCATTTAGAAAATTCAGATTGCTACAGCTCAAAAATTCAAGTGTAAAAACCACCTTGGAACATTGTATTAATAATAAACAATCATTATCTGGGATTATTTTATTATAATCTGGGATTATTGTTTTATTATTACCTGGGATTATTAGAATGATATTTCTGGAAACTTTCTAAATTTGTGTTTGAAATGGCAGTAATTCCTCTGCAAAGAGACAGAATTTGTTAATCTAATTCCTGAACAGTGAAGTCAGCAGGTCAACTACAAAGTTAGATATGGACAAGAGTTATATCTTCTTCTGTAAGAATTGATACACTCACAAAAAAATGCTCAACATATACTCAAAACTGTTTTGTAAACTGTTACCTCTAAAATGTCACCACGAAAGATCAGCAATATCATTTGTCTAAATCTGCTCTGAAAAAAATTACAAGCCTTATTCTTTCAAAAAGGAAGCAAGTGATTTTTGACACTGCTGTTTACAGGAGATTTAAAATATATAGCATACACACACACACATACATAATTTGCAAGAGTTAGAGGTGCAGTTTTTATAATGGATATTAATAATATTTGACTTTCTTAAAAATTGCCTTACTATTTGTAATTAATTTATAACATAATTACATATAATATATAATTATTATGATTACTACCACTAACAGTGACTGGTTATGTTCGAGGCACTGTGTTAAAAGACTCACATACATTATTTCATTTAATTCTCACAACAGTTATGTGATATAAATATAGTTACCTATATTTCAGTGTGGGTTAACTGAGGTTTCAAGAAATTTAAGTACTTGGTCAGTGATATATTTCTAGTAAGTTGGAGGAGATAGAAGTTGAAACCAGGTCTACCTGATTCTGAAACCCATGTTTGTATCCCATAGGCTAGCAAACTATTAGTTTGCTATTCATTAAAACCTTTTAAATGTATAACTTCTATGGTTGATGGGCTTAAAAAAAAAAAACCCACTAAAAATATTTTAAGAATAATCAATGTTTTACATAATTTTCCTTTACTCAATCTATTACCTGTCTGTTGGTGATTTCTCTTCACATACATTACATTTCCTAAAATAAAATGTTCTTATACTTAGAAAAATAATATTTCCACATAACCTATCAACTTTTAGAACCACAAAAATGTACATATTTCAAAGGTAACAAAGGGTCAAAGAATTCATTTACTTAAACTGAGTTGCCCTTCTTTATTTCTCCCTGTTCTAACATCCCAATTCTACCGCACATCTTCACTGATTTAAATTGTCAGACTCCACTTCTCATAATATTACTTATAGTTTTGTTGTATATAGAAAGTCACACTATTTCATTAATCATAAATAATAAAAACTTCTAGACTAAGCATGCACTGATTAAATTATATGTTAAATCTTGTCTTAGAACCCAAAACTACAGTGATTTTGAAAATAAAAAGCAGGGAAATAAGCTAAGAAACAGAAGTTTCTCTATTTTCAATAATTGGTCTTTGAAAAACAAATGTCAATAGCTCAATTTTGGCCTATCTGTTTTTCTTCTTACCTCAGGTTGACTGGAAATATTCAGAATGAGAGCCCACAGTTCAGCTCTCAGTGCTGTGGGACTGCCTTGTCTTATATACTGTTGAGCCGCAGCACTATCTTGTTCTGCTAGAACTGTTAAAAGTACATTAAAAATCTCATTAGAAAATTCATAATGCAAGAAATATCACCAAAATCTTTAATTATAAATCTTTTGGGAAACTGACATTTAATCTTTATATCTAACATAATTACATCATATATTGACCTTTTTTTACCCTTTGGATTTTGATATTGGCCCTATTTACAGCCCTCCAGGTTTCCAGCCTTAAGCTCCTCCACCCCGTACCCAGCCTGGTAAAAGCTATTTAATATAGGGACCTTGAGATCACTTTGCTTTAACTACAGCCCTGTGGGCCAGAAACTAGTAATGTATATATATAATAATTTTCAGATTTCACGATCAAGCAAAGTAATATCTACAGAAACCCTAAATCTCTTATGCATATTCTACTAAGTCATGAATGTTCTAATATTTGGAAGTAGTATGGTACATGAAGTAACCCAGCTAAGAATAATAATACACAAGAATGTAAGATATCTATTCTATTAAATGACTCCTTAGCTATTTGCCAAAATCAATGGAAAAGAGGGATTTTTTTTTTAAGAAATAAAAACAAAGATTTGATAACCTGTTAATTAGGCCAAAATTATTCTTCTTTTTTTTTTTATTTCAGTATGTTATGGGGGTACGGATGATTAGGTTACGTATGATGCCCTTACCCTCCCTCTCCCCCAAGTCCGAGCTTCAAGTGTGTCCATTCCCCCGGAGGTGTGCATCGCACTCATTGTTTGTGCATATGCCCGTTCCCTCCTCCCCCCTCCCCTCCCCCTGCCCAACATCCAATACATGTTATTCTTATATGTGCACTTAAATGTTGATCAGCTAATACCAGTTTGATGGTGAGTACATGTGGTGCTTGTTTTTCCATTCTTGGGATACCTCGCTTAGTAGAATGTGTTCCAGCGCTTTCCAGGAGTATATAAGAGGTGCTATATCACCATTGTTTCTTAAAGCTGAATAGTACTCCATGGTATACATATACCACAGTTTATTAATCCACTCATGTACTGATGGACACTTGGGTTGTTTCCACATCTTTGCAATTGTGAATTGTGCTGCTATGAACATTCGAGTGCAGGTGTCTTTTTCATAGAGCCACTTTTGCTCTTTTGGGTAGATGCCCAGTAATGGGATTGCTGGGTCAAATGGTAGTTCAAAATTATTCTGAAGCGGCCAAGTTCACAGAACTAACATATTATCTTTTGCTTTCATTTTCATTTTTATTTTCTTTAAGGAAAATATCAGCTATTCAGTCTGCAAATAAAGGCCCCCCCCCAAAAAAAATAAAACAAAAACAAAAACAATACTAGACAACTGCTGCTGTTTGTCTAACCGTACTGTTTTCTTACATTTTCTTCTTAAAAAGGAGGGGAAAAAATCTTATACTAAATGAAAATTACATAAGCAGAAGAAACAAAGTGATCACATGAAATAAAAAAGGAATGAAACATATTCTTTAATTTGCTATTGTGTTTCATGAAAGTGCCAAATCATACAAATGAAATATTCTAAATAAATATGATATGGAAAAATTAAACTAGGGACTTTGGTACATGTCAATACAATTACCATAGCAGGGGTTCATTCTGACACAAAGACCTATCTGTACTTCATATTTGAAACACAAAACAGAATTTATAAATACAAAGAAAAGAATCTTCAAAATATGGGGAAAAATTATTCCCTAGAATACTAAGAGCTGCTTTGGTTATTAAGCCTTACCACTGTGAACATTCATCAAGAAATGTTACGGTTACATTTTCTCCTGATGCAGGAGCGTATTCCCATTAACTCTAATGAGAGGTGTGTGGGTGCATCAAAGAGAGAACATGCCTCTTTGATTTTAAAATGAAATTCTACTGCTGAATGGATTAAGCTAACATCTCTGAGGAATGTGTGTCTGCATTTCCTTTTTAGTGAACAAGCTGTGTACTTCTTTATCTGTATTTATTGATAAAGCCAAAGTGATGCATTTTCCCTCCTATAAAGATTCCCATTATATAATCTGCATAGTTAAATATTACTCCTTTTTAGGCTTTTAGCTTTTCAGAAATTAAATCTCATTTGGAGGTATTTGAAGCAGATATTTAGCTAAGACTATCTCATTTTTCAGAAATTATAATAAACATAATTAAAAGCTTACCTTTTTGCCCAATACGCACATGCTCATTTTCAAAAAGTTCTAAAAATGTTAAAAGAAAATAAAATTACTTAAAAGACATATGTATGATCAGCCACATTTGAACCAACATTAGGTATTTTTTTATGTTTTTTTTTCTGTTATTCTGTTATTTTAATTATTTTTAAAACTGGATGGCTCTATAGAAAACTATAAGTATTTATTCTATACTTAGAAAAATTTTTTCTAAGTTGTTTAAAGTGTGTAGAAATTAAAAGGGAGTTAAGGTCATTTAATCAGAAGAAAAAATGATGAATTGATTTCTCTTTGTTAAAATAAAACAAAATATCTTCTTATAATACAAAAATGTTTCTGTCTATTCATCTTTGATTTTTTCCTTAAAAAAACCAAAATTTGTTGACAGCTTCATTTACAAAGTCCTACTTCCATTTCAATCTACCATTGGATAGCTAATAAAAGCAAATCTAATAAAAGCCTTACTGCTATATAGGTAAAACCTCACTATACAAATGTCATTTTAAAAGACAACATGGGGAGGATTACTTGTTTTCAAAGAACTAATCATATTGGGAAAAGACTCATAAACTAGACCATATTAAAATTTTAAAAACTTCTGTTCATCAAAAAACACCATTAAGAGAGTGAAAGGATAAGTAACAGAGTGGAAGAATATATTTACAATACGCATATCTGGCAAGGAACTCCTATTCAGAATATACAAAGAACTTCTGGTAGAAAAAGGCAGACAACCATCAGACACAAATAAGCAAAGGAGTTGAACAGGTCCTTCCTGAAGGACCAATAAACATATAAAAAGTTGCTTGACCACATTAGTCATTAGAGAAATGCAATTAAAACCATTATGAAATGCACAACCACGGCAATGACTAAAAGAAGACTAACGATTCTAAATGCAACAGATATTAAGCAAAGTTCTCAACACAGCTGGTAGGAGTGTAAATTGGTACAGAAAACTGTTCAGCAATATCTACAAACACTGAACATATGCATATCCTATGACAATTAGCAATTCACTCTCAGGTATATATCCTAATGTATAAATATGCACACCAAGAGACATGTATGAGAATATTCACAGCAGCACTACTGATAATAACCAAATAGTGAAAACAACTCAAGTGGCCATCAACAGTAGACTAGATAAATAGTGGTATATTCATATAATAGATTACAGTACAGCAATGAGAATGAATAATTTATAATTCTACACAACACTATGGATCTTATAAACAAAAGCAAAAGAAGCCAAACACAAGAGTACATACTATATGATTCCATTTCTATAAAGTACAAAAATAGGCAAAACTCATCTTTGATGTCAGAAGTCAATAGTTACCCATGGAGGTTGCAGAGTCTGGATGTGTGCCTAAGGGGGCTTCCGGGATGCTGATAATATTCTCTTTCTTGATCTGGTTGGAGGTTATACTTTGTAAAACTTCACTGATCTGTATACTTATTATTTGTGTACTTTTCATTATGGATGGTGGACTTGTACAAAAGTTATTTAAAAATGAGAGCAAAACAAAAAAAGATTATGAAACCATGAGAGGGAGAACTTCTAGATCTTTTCCCCATCCCAAAGAAAATCAATTGCTCAACTTCCTTTCCTCTTCTTTCTCCCAACCTGAGAAAGGAGGAACTGCTTATTGGATTTGTGAAATTCCAACAGCAATTAGATGACCTTTTCTAATGAATGAGCTAACTGTGTTAAAGGTCACGAATTTACATGTGGCTCTCTCAGTATGTAGAGTCTGGGTCCCCTGGCAACTTGGTGGCCATCTTGGCATTTGATTTTCTTTTGACAAGAATGCGCAGGCTCAGGCACTTCGAAGTTCTTATCAGGTATGGCTCAGTGGCCTGCTTGTATGAGATAAAGGCATTGAAGGAGGGATACCTGTGCTGGGCTAAGATTTTGAGACTGTTTTCTAGAAAGCCTGGTCACTGATGTCCCACGTTAGCCCAGCTAAATATAAAATGGGACTGTATGTCTATTTTCCATTTGTGAATATTTCTTATATGTATATAGCTCTCTTGGAAAGAGGTGAAGGGATGGAGGATGCTAGGGTAAAGAGGGAAGAATAGGCCAGGACAGAATCTGGGTAATCCAAGGACATCTCAATGCGGATCAAGCTGCACCATTACTCCCAACAATGAATAACAGGAGCAGCCAGTTTTCTATTACCTGAAATACTTTAAAAATCTATCTTTGATATATAAAATTGCCACACTGAGGCAAAATCATAAGAACCTTCTTAATCAAGGAAACATTAATGTTTGTTTTGTAGATATGCAATATATTTACAAAACAAATATATGAAATTTCAGTATTATGTAATTTTTTAGATTTCAAAAATAAGCCATAAAGCTAGTCTTCTACTAAATAGAATATTTGAACCTGAGTACCCTATTCTTTTATTCTATTCCTAAAGTCTCTCATGTAATTATTGAGCTGATTATACAACGACCAAGGAAAGTGCCTGGGATCCCTGCTATGATTAGCTGTGATGGCCCAGACTTAGTCACCAAAGAAGACAATGCTCCAGTGAATACATGAGATGGTGAATAGTGACAGTGAACAGCATGAGATAGCAGATGTAATGCTCAGCCTATTAGAGGGGGACTCTTTCAGAGAATGACAAATAATATATTACAGGGACTGGAGATGGTTTTCATATGAATTCTATAACTGGTTCTTATCAGTAAACTTGATAAGCATATCACAGAATTGGCCCATACCAACTTGTTTTTTTTTTCATGCTCCTTTACTAAGGACTAATTTTAAATTTCTTTTACAATTCAAATTATGATCCTTTTATGACCATTTTAATCAATGTAATTTTATGTAGTTCAAGAATTTCTTCTCATAATATGCTAAAAATGTTTTCTATTCATAATTTTCATTGAATGAATAAAGAACAGTCGAATAATCAAGTTAAAAAAGAAGTTGTCAGCCAATTTTTGTTTTCTAATAAAAGGGATGATACCACTGGATGATGATAATGCTTTATTACCTAAAATAGCATGAAATAAACAATAATTAAAAAGACTTCTTTACAGTAACTATTCAATTATCTGAAATACAATAATTTTGCTTTCTAAATGCTATTTCCTAGCCCAACAAAAGAAGCCCAAAGAAATGTGTTTCACAGAATGTCCTGACCACTACGTTAATAAATGCATCTATATTAATAGATCATGCCTGGGGAAAAAAAAGTTCTCTGGTAAAATGACTTTGGGAGATGCTAAACTAAAATAATTTAATTAAGACTTCGCATAGTCTTTAAGACAGTAACATACACTGTATATCTTCCGAAAGTATATGGCGTAGCTCTATCCAAACCTTATTTGAAAAGATCCTCTTTTTCACAGAGCATCTTATGAATGTTCTATAAACATACTTCAGGAAATCTGTACCAACTGAAGATGCTTTTTTCTTTTAGAAATAATAAGCTGTAGAAAAGCCTATTTAGCAGAACCTCCATCTAAGAAGATTCATTATGATGTATATTAAAATAATATAAGACATATGACCCCCCCTTATCACAAAGTCTTAAGAAAGAATGCTGATCCTTCTCACCCTGTTAACATCAGTCTTACACATGGTTTCCATAGTAAGTTTGTGGGGGGAGAAGAGGGTGTATGTGTATATTTAAAATAAATACATGTTCATGACAGTTTACATAAATAATGGATATGACTAAAGGTTTTTTTTGTTATTGTTAAATAAGGTTTCAATAGTATAATGATAAGGACTTTTCTCCTGACTTCTATATAAAAACTGATAATAAGTGAGGAATACTCTTCAAATATAATAATTGAATAACTGTAATGATAAAACATAGGTAATACATATGTTAAAAATGAGTAAGAAAACAATTTCTTTCAGTTACACTTAAGCTTAATCCTAAATATAAAACTTGCCTCCAGACAAACACAAGTACTAGCAATATTTTTAAACATTAGTATTACTTTTCCGATTTAACCAAAGTCATAGACATAGACTAAAAGATAAAAATAATAGTGAATTCTAGGCAAAAGTAGTTATATATGACCCCATTCTTCTTTCCCAGTAATACTGTTGCCTAGCAATTCACAAGCCAGGCAGAAATCCAAGTACTATATCACTAAAAACAACTTCATTGGATAAACACTAATTTGACCCAACTTTTAGCAGTCTTGCTTTGAAAAGTAGAGAGAGAAAAATAACTGCATCAACTAAGAGGTTGTCAACCTCCTCCAAGGCAGACTTAGGTGCTCCTTCATCTGCTCCAACAGCCCCTTATATAGAATAATAGCAAATACCACACAGAATCTTATTTGTCACTTGCCAGTATTTGCTTCCCTAAGAGCAGAGATTATGTTTTGTGTCTATGTATTCACCAGTCCCTGGCCTCTACAGGGTCTAAAACACATTTGTTGTGTTATGGGTGAATCAAAGAAGGAAAATCTATACTCTAGGTTAAGAAATACCGTATATTAAGTTTTCTAAAGCATAGCTACTATAAGATTTACAATAATTTTAAATAATTAAAAGTGTTTATCTTAAAGGTATATAATTAAAAGTGAAAAATATAATTGAAGGTTGTGTTACTATTTCCTTTTCTTTTCTTATATATGACTATCACTTGCCATCAGTCGAAGTATAAGATATTTTATTCTGTAAGATATCTTATATCTTCTTCTAAAATACCTTCTTTAAAAGATAGCATAGTATAGCAGACTTTGGAGATAGATTTCTTAGTTTTGAATCCTGGCTCTGTCCACTTGCTTTGTGACCCTGAGCAAGTTACTTAACATCTCCACTTCTTTGAATTTAAAATGGTGGTAATACCCCTACTTCATATCATATAAGAAAATTAAAACCATAATGCAATACCACCATACACTACCAGACTGACTAAAACAAAGACGATGAAATACACCAAGACTTAGCGAGGACATACTGCAACTGTGACTCTCACACATCGTTGTTGGAAATATAAACTGGTACGAGCACTTTCGAAAACTCACTGGCAGTTATCTACTTAAAGCTGAACTTATACAAACCCTAGGACCCAGAAAGTGCATTCCCAGGTGTCTACTCAACAGAAGAATATACATATATTCACCAAAAGACACATACCAGAATGATCATAGTAGGCTTATATGTACTAGCCCCAAATTTGAAACTTCCCAAATATACATCAACAGTAGAATGGATAAATATGTGTGTGTTATATGCATACAGTGGAACACTGGAACTATAAATACATACAATATGGCTGAGTCTCACAAACATAATTTGAACAAAAGAAGACAAATATCGAAGAGACACACTGTATGTTTCCATTTATATGAAGTTCAAGAATTGGAAAACTAAGCTATGCTGTTAGAAATCAGAATGGTGGCTATCTTTGAAATGAGAGATAAAGATTGAAAGAGGGTGAGTGGGGCTTCTGGTTATTGTTCTGAGTGGTATTTTAATAGATGTGTTCAATTTGTAAAAATTCATTAAGCTATCCTCCTATGACATATGTGCTTTTCTATATATATTATACGTGAATAAAATTTTTAAAAATGGTAACAATACATATCTTATAGAGTTTCTGAGGGGTTAAAATGAGATACATGCAACACATCATATGTGCTCAATAGTCATTTATTAATATTTGTAATAATAATAGCAATTATTATATAATATTACTATTAGAATAATAATAAATAGCCAACTTCCTTCTTTTATAGAGGAATAAACAACTCCAAAGATGTATAGTGACTTGTCCAAGTCACAAACCTAGCCAGTGGCAGAGAAGAGTCTAGGATATTCCCCTAACCCTTGTCCAGTTTTGTTCCCACTACAATATAGGCCTCTCATATGTTAAGTCAATTTTTACTTCCTTTTTATTATAGCTAAATACCAATCTGGTTCTTTTATGAAAAGTACGTTGTATTTATGCACAACAAGAGAAAAGTTAGGGAAACTGGCTGGGTGATTAAAGTTTAAAAGACATCATTTTTAAAGCCTAAGTCTACTTGAGGTAGATGCCAGTGTTCACTTAACTTGGTGATACGAAAATAAAAGTAGACAGTATGTCCAGAAAAGGGAAATATGAGTGTTGCCAATGAAGATTCTGCTAACAAAATAACATATATGTCTAGTGACTTTTCAAAATTATTTTAAAGATCTTCAAATAAAAAGACAAAATTTAGTTGAACTCTGGTAATTACAACATACAGGATTTTATTCAACAATTAACAGTAACCAAGGAGAAGCAAAAACATGCCTCATTTTCAGATACAAAAGAAGTTGCTAGATTCATTTAGAAATAGCAATAGAAATCTTAAACTCACTCTCATTTATCATTTATCATTAATTATATGCCATACGGGAGAAATACTAACCAGGAGGCACTTGTGTAGAGTCATCTATACCCAGTTGTCCTGTATTTAAGCCAAGTTCTGCAAAGCATTCTTTCTGAAAAATAACATATGCAAAATTAACATAGGTCTCATACTTTGCTGTACATTATTAAAAGATCTCCTTCACCTAAATATCAGCTGAAATAAAAACCACAATAAAATGAATCTTTTCTTCATTCAAGTATCTAAAAAAAGAAAGGACATATTAGACATCATCATCATAATAATACATTAGCTTAAAATTAAGGAGCAGAACAACCATGAGTCTTTTTACTACAGAAATTACTATGTAATATTTATTATTTTCATATGAAATAACATGTATGAGTGTTTAGGAAAGATTAACATATATAATGGAAAAAGAAACAAACATATAATATTTCTTCAAATGTAAAGGCTTTAATAATATTTTTTTCCTCCTAATTTTTCCTGCCTCAGAAAAGTTTTTACTTTAATACCTTTTGACCAATATGAATGCTGCCACTGTTTAAAACAAAAAACCTGTTTCTAAAAACAGTTCTTGATTTTGCCTTTTTAGGTAACAGACTAATCAGTAAAGTAAGGAACGATAATTATCCTTTTGAGTGAAGAACTACTAACATTCAAACCTTTCCTGAAACACACACACACACACACACACACACACACACACACACACACAC